ATATATATTGCGTGAACAATTTTTTCAAGTCTGATATAATCATACTCGATTGTGCAAACAATATAATACTTGATGCTTTTAAAATAGTTTCAATACTTAAGTAGAGTGTTTTTTGAAATTCAAATATTATAATATATAAAGATATTATTATCAAACATATTATAATAATATGAGTATTGTGTTGAAACTAAACATGTAAAATGTTATGAATAAAATCTTCGGCCATAATTTAAAAATAAATTGTTAGGTGCTTCTTTTTATTTTATTTTCAACATCAAATAACAAATGTAATAATATACCAAAAATAATCACAATGTGGCTAAAAATTAGAATTCGTTTTCAGCTTTACTTGCATTATAATGTGAGATATGTAATGTCAGCACAAACATCGGAAGTATAAGGTCGACAGTAAAATACTGCAGTCGAATATACTCGTATAAAAGTATATGATGAAATCGAGTATTTTCCGAGAGCACCTATAGTTTTTTTTAGTATTCGGTAAAAACCACTATTTTTGACCAACTTTGCGATCTATGTAATATTTTAGTTAAGTCTATAATGAAAGTATCGGTAATTGATTTTATTTGAACGCATTTGTAGATTGGAAATGCAATTGTCATTTTGCTAAATCGCAGCAACGAGTTTTAAGACAAACATATAATTTTGCGGACATTATTTTTGTTAAAAAAAATTGGATATGTGTTTCATTTTAGTAGTTATAGTAAGGTTTTTGGATCTGTTCGAATGATTAATCGAGAAACACGCTAAATAAATATACATCTATGTGTGTATATATAATATATGGTTGTATTAAATCATTGCAAAAATATGATTTTACCAGATATAGTTTTATGTAATTGAAATTTAGGAATATAAGTTTAAAATACTAAAAAGTATAATGTTAAAGTTAAGATGATTGTTATGATATGATACATTCCGATTGTATATATGCTTATCGATATTTTTTTTTCGTATAAGAATCACAAATATGACTACAGAATAACTTGCACAATAAGTTAGCCTCCTATATGCATATTCATATACTATTTTACATTGGCATTGGTACTGAGAGTACCTACATGCCGTACCTACTAGCTTGGGTGAAATTGTTAATTTTAATCAAGGTAGATAGAATCGTAGTAATAATAATACATGCATAAAATAATAAAGATTAATCCATTATGATGAAAATGAAATGGTTAAGGGATTCCAATAAAGGATAATGTATACTTCGTTTAATGTTTAAAACTTTATTAGGGACTTGTATAAACCGAATAGTACTTATTATATCCACCCGCTATATACACTCCAAGCACAAACAACGATATTTTAAATACAAACTTACTCTACTTTACTTTTATAAAATATTTTTATTTTTATCCAGTATTTGAGAAATAAGAAATAAGGGTTTTATTGGAAAATTGAAAACGATTCATTCGATTAATAAACATTAGATTAGTGAAAGAATGTTGACGATTCTTAAGCGGTGTGCACGACACTATAATATATTAAAGTATCATATAATAACGTGTCATAGAAAAAGTTACACACGTCACTTAAACGTTTTAGCGATATTTAGTTATCACAAAATACGATCATTTATCATTTGGTCTCATTGCTACACTACATTTCCCAATGAAAATGAGAACCGATTACCTAGACGTTTTTTTTAACGGCATACTAGACTTACACTTTTCCACTCTACGCACCAACGTATATACTGCTACTACGTGACAAATGATTTACACCGGCTTTTCCAAAATATATGTTTCTTAGCCGGATCTTAGGCTCAATTTAAAGAAATATATAAAAAAATAAACGTTTTTCTTCTCTTAAAAAAATAATAAAAGTAAAAAATTTCACAAAATTCAAACACTACCTATGAATAAAAAGCATAACTCCTATATAAGTAGATACGCGGTGTATTATTTCGCTATATTAAGATTAATCGAGTTTTAGTAAAGTGAAAGATCAACATTTCTAAAAAAAATGTATCATTTAATAGTTTGTAAGTCTTGTTTTAAATATTTCTTTTACCGATACAATATAGTGGTTTTATTTTATTTCTAACTGCCACAGAAAACACGAACATTGTCACTAAAAGGTTTTTCGCGTAGTAACTTAATGTCACAACATTTCACCTCATTGTTCTTTTACTCGCAACAGTGAACTTTGTGACAGATTTCTATATTGAAGTTTTTGGATCTTCGACGAACTTTGGCTATCTACCCTTGTACGACCGCATCAACATTAATTCTTTGCTTATTAATTATTAATCCAATCACCACCAAGTGAAATATAAGAAATATACATTTTTATTTTATTATAAACAATAGGAAAGAAAATTATACAGCATTATATAATATTCTAAGTAACGTATAAGTATATTAGTTTAAACGGTAGTGGGGTAAGTAATATGTATATTGGAAATGTATGAAATTTCAAGTTATTAATAATTACATAAAAATAAAAATATACGTTCAAGTATTTACATCAACTATATAATAAATAAGTATATACTATTAGGACGTTTAAATGCAAATTGAAAAGTTTTAGAAATTCTCCGAGTTAATTGATGTTACACTCCGTTAATTTTAAACTAAATTAGTCATCATTTTGAACTTGTAATTTTAAACCTTCTACAGTTTGTTTGAGTGGATGATGATATCAAAATAATGAAATACTAGGTCTGATCTCGATCAATTTTTTTACACGTGATAATGTATCAAGGTAAAGATAAGGTGAACAAAAGCAATATTTTAACCACGATTTGAGGGACCATTGTATTGCAGACGTTTCCCGTAATCCCTTTTACCCGAAACATTTCTAGATTAAAGTATTTTATTTATAAATGTACAGTATCTACCATAGGATCTCTATACTCATTGTAGTTTGTTCGGAACAGACGAAAAGTTATAATAATTGTTTGAAGAAGAAATTGTTCAGTCGAAAACAAATTTAAGCTGTACGTAACGTATGTGCGAGTATTATGTTATAGTTAACTTAACAACTTTCAATAACTGTGTTTTGATTACACATGCATCAAATGTATTTAATATAGGCAGACATACAATCATTAAATCATTTACATTATTTTCTGTATTAAAATTGGTTAAATCATTTCTATATTAGCCGTAATTTACATATATAGATGTATTTATGCGAGCGGTTAAGCTAAAAAGGATGGCGGTGAAGCGTAATGAAAATTAGGACCAAAAACTATTAATTTACAGTTTACTGAGGTGTTTTAAGATATTGAAGTCCTTATAAGTATGACATGCAGAAAATCTATTCAAAATTAATGACTATAGTCCCTTTCTTTTTTGAAAAATATTATTTCGTAAAGTATAGATATTGTTATTTTTGACTTTTCCAAAAACAAATATTGCTTATATGTGATAAAACAAATTTAATAACATCTCTCTATAATCATATGTTTTGATTTATTTTATTACGAACAAAAAATGTTGCAATTTTTATTCTTGTAATTGCAAAAAACTCAAGTATGCATTTTATTTATGATCGAAGAGTTTACGTTCACCGTTAAAAATTCGAATAAATCATATCCAATCGAGAATAGATGATGAAGCGCTGTACGTTAATATTTGCAGGCGGAGCGAGAAATGTTAAGATTATGCTGAGGGCATTCATAACAGCCATTGAATATTTTATTCTCAACGTTTTCAAGCATTTCAAAACATTTTTCACCCATGAACCGGTTTTAAATCACCGAGGAGCGACGTATTATTAACGATAGGTCATCGTACGAAGCGCGACGTGTCGACGTATTAACATCGTGTAAAAATTCGGTTAGTTAAACGTCACTGGTAATACGGATCCGATATTAAACACAGGTTGTGCATGTCGCCCATTCCTCAACAATAAATGATAAAACTTTTCATCGGAGAAACGACCGATTAAATATTTTTAATGTACGGTCATTAAGTGATATCAACTACACGCACACATGTGTAAATAAAATAATTCACTTAAAATACGCGTTTGACCGTTCGTACAAATAATATTTCACAATGTAAAATGTACGGCGTATCTACATTAGGTTTTAACCATATTCACGTGTTTATCGTAAATAATGAATTTGCATATCGTACACGATACGCGGTGGGGTGGTCAAGTACAAGCGCTCTGTCGGGTGGACATTTTGGTGTATATTGTATAATATACGGTCGTAGAATATTTTATACGAAACCAATAGACAATAACGAAACATTCAAGTACACGGATTTGAACCATAAGCGTGTGCGTTACACGCGGATATTAGTACCTAATTAAAAATTATTAACTTCAATTCAATATCGTGTGTTGTGGCGCAAAACGACAACCGAATCGTTTCAAACTGCAATGCGTTGTACCGTCGAAGTGAAAGCACCGCCGCACTTAGTCGTCGCCGAAGCGATTAAAATACGCGTAACCGTCGACAGTCAAATGCACATTACGAAATCACAGTGTCGGATTCGATGTTTAAATAGCTAATTGTTATTAAATATGTATAAACTGCATTTGCCATAAACACACATTCATTAATAAGCGTGCACGCGGCCATCGTAGGTATTGAATGAATGTCGTAAAAAATAAATTAAAAAACTGTTTTCGCGCGAACAACTCGTGGTCACAGCGTGCTCGATTGTGAGGAGGGGTGGGGGTACAGTTGAGAAAATGTTATTGTTAAAAAAATTCGATCTATCAGTTTTAAATCGGCTCCGATTCGCTATTATTCTTGGTGGGAAACTCGCAAAGCCGCTACCGACTCCGCGAACGTTTTCCCCTAAATCGCGTTTGCTCTCCCCGCGATGCCGCAAAATTTCATAGAACTTTTCGGTACATAATAACTTCGTCAAGGATAAAAAAAAAAAAAAGGACGTACGGTATACACCTGTATACATATGTGTCGTCAAAACGTGTGACGTGCTCTTGGGACGTCGAAGTCTTGGTAACAACTATTAAATAAATGACTCGTGTGGGCGCGCCGCGCATCTTACCTAGAGTCGAACTTGGTGCCGTCCACCAGTTTGCCGGTGTAGTGCATGGTGAGCATGTCGTTGACCTTGGACTTGGGCTCGCATCCGTCCAACGTGTACACGTATTCGATTTTAAGACCGTTGGGCAACGTCTCCACCTGGCTGGACTGTTGCGGTTGGTTGGCCGCGGACACCATCGCGACCACGGCGACGCACGCCACGGACACGCGTAACCAACTGGACTTCATGTCGCGGTACTCTGTACACCGGTCGGTTGGGTGGATGACAAATCCGAAACGATCAAAAGTATCGACGGACCAAAAACGACCGGCGTTCCAGCGGCTGTTTGTACCTCGATGAAAACGTGGCAATTCGTCGGTGGGAGTACAGCAGAGAGGTGCACGACGTGACGCGTGGCCGAATGTTTGACGACTGTCGGAACTGGCGACTGTTGAACGCGCCGCGGTGGCCGTTCCGTCGCGCGACCTTCCCCCTCCGCCGCCTCCGGTCGGTCATACGCGCATCGGACCACTACTACTTTTCAACGGGCGGGTGTCAAGGCGGCTGCGGCGGCGGGTACACCGTGATCACCGTTACCGCAACCGAAGCGCTCCGGTCGCGACGGCGAAACAAGATGCGTTTCGAATTCGGTTGAACGAGATTTGTGTTTTTGAAAAGTGGTTTTTTTCTCTTCCTGCACGCTCGCCCGCAGATATTGGCAATCGCCGTTTACTTCTTATCGAATTAATGCTGAACGACACGAGCTTACGGTGTACCGTGTGTACAACGCGGGACGGACAAAAAACTTTCGCGGACCTTTCTGTACACGAATGCAGCGGCAATTTATCAGCTTATCCGACGTATGTGTTCGATTTGTGTCGGATTTTCGTCCTGTGCACAAAATAAAATAAAAAAAACATCGAATTAAAAAGGATCGAGGAAAAAATTTATTTTACACATGTTTGCACTACTTTGGCTCAACGAATATACAGTTCGATCTGGTTGAATGATTTATTATATGAGGTCGACTTATATTTTATTGTTCACAAACCGTTTCGTCAAAACGCTTACAGCTCTAATCGCATTCACAGTGAACACTCGGTGTGGATAAAGTCTGTAATGCATATTACAACCGTCTTGATGAGAATACAAGAGTTTGTATTAACTATATACGGATCGAATGACTTTGTGCACACTAGATGTCTGGATCAGTAGCTTATTAAACGGAGAAATGAAACGGGTCGGGATTTCTTGTTTTCTCTGAAAAATTGTTTTCACGTTTGACTAATCAAATACATCCGAGAAGGCTAAGGCAATATTATGGTTGGTACTTATTAAATTTGGTTAATCTTACAACAGAAATCCTATTCGTAATGGTTTGATAGTTTTTTTTTTTATTATAAAATAAGACTATGTTTTGACATATTTTAATAAGATATGACTTATGGATGTGATATAATTAAGCACACATCGGATTATGTAGTTTCTGCTGTAGTACATATTATGATATAGCTTTATAAATATAAATATACTATATATGCATAATATACCTTAAACATTATTATTTAGAAAAAAAATACGTTTTCGAATTTAAAAAATATCAAGATATTAAGCATCACTTTTGTAGAATTGTATAAAGATTTTGTTTGAAAAAAAAAATTATTATTGAAGATTCAAATTGTCTAGATAACAATTAATTATGGCATTTTGATTTCAATATTTATGATTTAATATTATTATTATATTGTAAGTACCTATTATCCCGATAATGAAATTTATGTAAAACTAAAAAGTGTAAATATTTGGTTGATATAATATATTTATCAATAGTTACGCTTAATATTCATACATATATGTATTTTTAATTTTTTTAAATTAAAAAAAATGTTTCAGTACACCAATAAGTGTACTAATATTTTTTATAATCTATAAATAATTCTCAATAACTATAATAATAATTATTATTTTTGTTAATATATTTATTAACAACATTGGTCATTGGTTACAATGTGTTACAATTTTATGATAACTCGATTTTTTCCTATTATTAAATTGTACAATTTACATATTTTTAAAAGTATTAAAACTTGATTGGTTGTGTCTGTGCCTGGTCCGAATGCTATAGTTATTACTAAAAAGCGGATTTTCAGGGTCTAAAAAGTTTAAAATATGTTAATATTATATATGCTAATATGCCCTAAAAAAAACCTTAAAATATTCTCTTAATATTCTTTGAAAATGTAAAATATGCTAAAAATATGATTTTTATTTTTTATTTTAAATAATTTATAGATTTGTACACTTGTTACAATAAAAAATATGTATTGTATATTTGTGTATGCCTTCATTATATTTTATAATATTTACATTTACCATTATTATTGCACCTTATATTATATATTTAAAATATACGAAAACTTGAAAATCACCATAAATCTCAAAATATGCATTTACATGCATAATTTATTTGGTAAATTATTTAAACTCGGCTATATATAAAACAATTAATACATGTTAAATAAAATAAAATAAACGGTTATACAAATATATTGAATAAAGTCAAGATATTGTTAGACCTTATGGTAAAATATAGATTTTTATTGCTTACTATTTAATTATTTAAATTTAAAGCAATTAATACAAACATAAATATAGTAAATTATATAATAAAGTAATAAATAGCTGTTATAGACAGGGTTATACACTATTTATTTGATAAATTATAAAAAAAAAATGTAAATTAAAATGTTAAATATGTATTTATTTAATAGATCCTATAATTTAAAATCTAAATTTATAAAAAGAGTTTACAATAATGCAATGCCCTGTATTGTCAAGAGTTAAATTTGTTCTTCTATCTGTAAAAATATCTCTATATAAACTGAATGACTTTTCCACGTCAACTGTGTTGTTAACTGATGTTAGTGGTACATTTTACATATTGGTAACTAAGCTAGGGTTTAAATATACAGCATAAAGTTCTCTATTATCCCCTGACTGAGTAAGTCCATTTTTTAATAAATATTATCACACGCCAAAATGTCTTAATTAACAATGGCATAATCACGGTCCGAGAGAACCGTAACCAACGTTACCTATTTGATACCTATATAAAGTACTTACATTATAACAAACAAGAAACTGAATAATTTTTATCATTCTAAATAAAATAAATTTTTCATAAATTCTTCAATCTCCAAAATATGCTTCAATATGCAAAATACATTTTTTTCTACGAACTCTATAATAGATAAATCGTTCACATTTTCATCCTCATTGCGCTTAAGTAAGACAATGAATATACGAAAAAATCTAAAAATCTGCTCTTTTGTTATTACTTATTTAAAATTGTTCAAATCAGAGTATAACGTGTATACTGAACATATGTTATATAATCATACAATATGAGCTTCATTGTTTTGTATGAACGAACAATTTAATAAATTAGGTTTAATAATTATTTATTTCACTCCAATTTGATCAATTTGAATATGGGATTGAAGAAATATATAAATACACTTAAAGTTATACATCGAGTACTTAATATAAAAATGTATATACATAAATCGCTTCTTATTTATGCCTATGGTTTATGTTTGACTATACTTTCAAGTCAAAAATTTTTAATTCCTTATTTTATAATGTATTAAAACAAATAAATAAAAAGTTTGTTGAAACCGATTTCAAGTTATTTCTAATATATTAAAAACGACTACATTTTTTACTTCACATGTCATCATAATACTTTGATACGAAAATTAATTTTTTATTAAATTTTAATATTATTTTTTAAAATATTTTTCGTGATCCAGGATTAATGAGAATCTTATGAAGGATAAGGCCACAAAATCATTTTTTAAAAACTCTATTTAAGTGCATACTCAGCATTAAATTGACCACGCGGTGATGATAGGCGCCAACAGTCGCGAGTTGGTTATAATAATGTATAATATAGCAGTGTGTGTGGTTGTCATTGCGACGAATTATAGACATTTTCAGTCATATACTTTAACACTAATAATAATAATAATAATAATAATATCTTTAGCGTCGTGAAAAACAAAAATGATTATTAATAATAAATTCAAGCGTCATGTCCCTGAAGTGCCAACAAATAACAACAAACTCGGGTAAATTAGTTCCGAAAAGCTACTTCAATATGTATGTATGTATGCATATGCGTACACGCTGCATTACGTATTTCTGCGGACACGCGCGCGCGCCTGTGCAGTATTAAAAGTTTGCCGACACACATTATTGAGATGATTTTCGGCGTATGGGCATTTCTGGTGGAAACCGCGACAAAATGATTATATTGACAACCGCAACGAAGTTGTCACATGCCGTGTATTCGTCTGCTGGATATAAAAAAAAAAAAAAAAAAAAATACTTACATAAATACTGATTTAAAAAATATAAAATATAACTTCCAAGTTTTTTAACTCCATGATATTTCGGTGCCCACTGAGATTATTATTAGGTTACACCTTTCGGTACCTACGTAAGTCAGCATTGTTCAAATAATTGTTAAAATTATAAATTATAATTTATAAAAACTCTTTATAAATTATAATTATGATGTTCTTCAAAGTAGAATTTATCGTTTTTGGAATAATTTGATTATTTTTTAATGAATTGTGAGCTGTTCCCCATTGAGAACAGCTAATGGTAATCAAATGCAAATTTTTTTTTTTAAATTATAATAAATATCTAGTATATAATTTTTTTTAAAAAAATTTACAAATTAATTGCATAAGCCGTTATTAACATTATTTAATGAAACTATAATTAATACAAAATTTAAAACATAAATTTAAAATGTAGAAATGAGATAATCGAATTAAAATACAATTAAATTTATGTATCAATGTACTGTTCATATAAATAATAATTTTGATTACCCTGAAAAGTTGAAAATAGTAATTTATATAATTTTTCGTTTACTGATGTGTCGATATTATAACAATATGAGTATAAGCGCATTTAATATGATATGCAATAGTACGAACACAACTTGTGGGATTTAAGTGGAACCACAACGAAAGGAGATTAAACAAGACGGAGCCCGCAGCGTGATGTCGTTGTGTCGAAAAGGATTTGTCTCTAAAATAATATTTCATATTGCTATAAAACTTATAATACTGTACACACTAAGGACTCAAACCTTGGTAAATCAAAAATTCTTAAAGACTCGAAAGAATTAATTAATTTTCATTTAAATTAATTTAAACGTCCAATGCAATTTATTTGTAGATAACGCGCGTATATCTATATTTATATTATTTTGTTACAATCTTCAATAACTCTCGAATATCTTAAGTGTCCATTAAGATACAATTAAACTATATTGATCTTGTGTGGTATTATACAAATTAATGGTTTTGTAATAATTTGTTTTTCGATAGAATTTCTAGTTGATGTGTCTTTAATAAAAATATCTACAAGA